GAAGGTTTCATGGTTAAGACTTATCTGAAGTATTTTATGATTTGGCTTCCCATTTGCGCTGTTGAAAATTTGGTGAACTCATCCTGAATCTCCTCTTGACCAAGTTAAAGCAGAGAAAAGGAATACTCAGTTATTTATACTTAATGTTTGCTTCTTTTTCCTTGTAGCAGTGGGCAGACTCTTTGGCTGACTTTAAGATGTGAAGGTATAGATACAAAGTTCTACTGGGAACCTCAGTCCTGTAAATCCATTTCCTGCTTGCTCTAAGTTGACTGAAAGATATGGATTTATAAAGACTGCTGAGTCATCTCAGAGGCAGAGGGTATTGCTTAGTCTTATGATAACATTGGCATGGATTTGCACTTTAACACTTCACATTTTGTGTCTTCCTGCATATGGCTGATGCAAATGAACTGCCAACAGTTTTAACCATACAGAGTATATGTATTTTTTGTGTGTTTATATGGTAATTCTGTACTCTGTGTACATGATACCACTATACTACGTGAGACACTAAGAACTGCTGCTGACTTCTGAAGTCAGAAAAAAATGAATCTAGAAGCTGGTAAGACTTTTTTAGTAGAAGGTTACCTTGGAATTCCTCACAACCAAGCTTATACTATGGTGATGCTTTGTAAGCATAGGCTCCTATTTTCATCTCCAGACTTGGTCAGTCTGTAAGATACAGTTCTGAAAATGGCTTCCTTCTGTGGTGCCTGCAAATGCTGTTGTTTTGGGGATTGTCAGTGTTTCTGGATTGCCTGTCTATCAGAAAAGAGAAATGAGAAAGGAAACCTTTTTATGGTTCTGAAGTGTAACAGTATTAATTTATTTCATCCACCTGTTTGGACTGGAATAATCTCTGGAAACCCATGTATTTAAAACAGACAAACAAAATGCAAATGAACTGGCTTTGGGAACACAGGTATTCTCTGTGAAGAAGCAGATGATGTCTTTAGGAAGAGTTTCCTGTGAGTTTCCATTTCTACAACAGCAAAAGATCTACTAGTTTGCTTTCTAGAGGTAATGGCACGATTTTGATTCAGTCAGAGAGAAATGCACAGAGGTGTGTTAAAACAAAGTCCTGTGATTCCGTGCAGTTCTGAATTTACTGGCAAACTGTCACAGTCAAGTCACTGTGAATGCCTGTAAGGGGAACTTTGGTAGTCAGTGTAGCATGATTCTATGATCTAGTAATGTCTCAGGAAAGTTTGTGTGATGAGGCAGGTCGGGGGGGACAAGCTGTGAGGTCAGTCCGTGGATCCAGGTGAGAGACAGCCCTGTGGTATCTCAGAAGCCCCGTGGTGACAGGGCCAGGTGGAACTCAGGAGGTCAGTCTGTGGGCCGTGTCCATGGCCAGGCAGGGGCAGCTGTGGCTGAGCTGGAGCCCAGCAGCCTTATGGCACAGTTTGGAGAGGGACTGAGGGTCCCAGGGTGTGTGGAACTGGGGCTGCAGGGCCCAGGGATGAGCGTGGCTGCAGCTCCCAGGCGAGGCTGGCCCTGAGGGGTGGGTGTAAGACCTAAAACCCATGTGAAACCGTTCTCTTGGCAGAACTGCCAAGCTGAGAGAGCCCTGGCACTCGGTGTCAGCCCCAGATCTTTTTCACTTTCTTGTCTGTGAGATACTTTCTTCCACTGAATAGGACAACACAGTGCTTATGAAATATGTAAACTGGAGCCTTGCCCAGATAAACAGTGTGTGAATGCACTTGGAAGAGTTTGAGCTCTGTTATTGTCTTTGATTCACCAACTGCACACAATTTGGCAGTCAGTTTTGACTGAAAGCTGAATGCTAAAGCCGAGGTTTAAGCTGTGATAAAAACTGATGCTTTTGTCTCCTAGTTCTATAGTAGTATGAAATTGTGGGGGTTTGTATGCCTGTGTTTTTTCTGGAATCAGAATTTGATTCAATAACATCTGTCTCTGAAGAGAGCAAGCTGGGGAAGTGCAGTGCACTTTGTTTGAGGCTGTCTGTGTGAAGCTGGTGTTGACTGCAGCTGGTGCAGAATAGGGCTGTTTGATTTGTACCCACAGTGATGCTCAGACCCCATGAGTTGTTCAGGGAAAAAGAGCTGGCTTCCTGGTGTTTTGTGCTGTCAAACCTTAGATATATTATGTGTGATAAGGAACATGGGTTTTATTTTCCCCCCTTTTTTTTCTTCTTGTTGGAGTAGTGCAACCAATGCTTAACTGTGAATGTAGTTTTCAAATTTTCCATTCAAAGTCTTCTTGTCCATTCGCCATGTTTAGCTGGAACAATCCACAGCTGAGAATCTGGGACTCTCCATTCATTTTCCATTCTTGTCAGGGACAATCAGGTATAAGAAAGACATAGAAGTATGTCCTGGTAGGGCTGGGGCAGCAACCTGGGGAAGTGTCACTGTACTGGGCCTCTTAGGTCAGCAGTGGTTGGAGAGGGGATTATTTGTGATCTTGGCTGGTCTTACATGACATATCTGACTTAGTATGGAAAAACTTGTGTCAGACCAGTGGGCATAGTCTACTAGTCTAAAAAGAAGTTGTAATAAGAAGAAAGTGGTAAACTATGAAAATAAAAAGTAAAATAGCCTAAAGTTCAGTGAAGTAGCTGGGTGAACTGCAGATTTTTGTAGAGACTAACTTCCTTCTTCAAAGAACTAGTTACATTATTCTGATAGCCCACATATGCAAAGGTTTGATAGAGAAATCACTCAATTTTAGGTATTTTTGGTCCATTTATGGAGAAGATCAATCTAGATTATCATCTGTTTCTTCCTTTTCACATGAAAAGTCTTGAGGAACTAATTCTTCCTCAAGATGGAAAGGAACCATGGCCCTACAGCTTTGTTCAGGGCTGCCCAAGGCTCAGAGCTGAACAACAAAGTAGTGGTGGGTCTAAGCTTTTTTTTAAATTTTAAACATGTTATTGAACAAAGTGAGGCTGTTCACAAGTGAATTTACCAGTGCCACGACTCTGAATCTCTACACAATACTGTGTAAAAGAAAGTATTCTGTGTTTACTTAAAGACATGAACTTTTTGAACCTATTTGACTGTTTCCAGCCGTGTTTCCAGGTGCTGTGTTACTGACTGCTGTTACTAGCTTTGTGCTACTGGCTTATCAGTTTGGGATTTCTTATGAACCCCCTGATCCTGGTTAGACAGTACTGCTTTAGAGGGAAACAGTCACTTTGAAGGACTTTCAGGTTTGACTGTTTGTATATGATGCAGCAAAGTAAGAAATGGTTAATAAATAGAAGGTGGCTAGACTGAAGTATTGTGGTGATTTCCCATTGTATCTCGAGGTCTGTGGCTTCCTTGCAGCACCAGGAGAAATGAGATTAGTGTGCTGTGTTGTAATACAATTGTAGGAAGGATAGATTCACTACTTAGAGCAAGAGCCTGTGTTTAAAAATAAATAACACTCTTTGCTGAAAAAGTCCAGTGCTCTGGAAAAATTGCAGATGCTTTACTGTGTTTGGAACTGCAGTAGTATTTGGGTTTGAACACACTGGGCAATGAAGTCATTCTTGCAGAGTGGTGATTCATTGATGAATTGGTTTATTAAAAATGTTAAAATCTGTTGTGTGTTAATATGCTCAAGAAAACTCTGTTTTATGATTCAGGTATCAGCTGGTTAAACCATTCTCTGACTCTCTTTAAGGCTCCAGCTCTCTCTCTCATTTGTTTGTTTGGCTTTTACTGTATGCCTGAGATTTCCAAGTTAGCCTGGGGAAGTAAGATGCAATCTGATGTCCAATGCATATCTTGGAGTAAATGAGGTTTTAAAAACATAGGACTGGTTCATTTAATATTGAATGCTCTTTTCTTCAGCCATAAACTTACAAACTTTATGCAGTGAGAAGTGGGTACTGTGATGCTTTTGTAAATAATGCATATAGAGACTGATGCAATGCAAAGGAAAATAATTGGACTTCAGCTTGCTTTAGGGTAGCCTTTGGAGAAGTTTTGTATGCATTGTGTTGTTCATTCTTCCTTGTGCCTCTTCTCATTGTTTGAAGCTGGTGCCACAGGCTCTGATGTGCTATTTTCCCTTCCTTTTTTATTTCCCCCCTGAGTTTAATTATCTCCTTCACACAAGCCATTTTGCAAATATCTACTAGTGTTTCTCAAAGGGACAAGATGCAGAAGGAGAGTGGGAGAAAGTCTAGAATAAAATAGAATGGAAAAGGAGGCTCCTTACAATCCTGATGTTGACTGTGTGGTTGTCCTGAAGTCCATAACTTTCAGCTTTCCAAATAACAGCTCCCAAGCTTGATTCCTGGACCCAGTTAAATTTGCCTCGGTAGCTCTGTCCAGCTGTGTGTCCTTTGTTGTCTGGGCTGGTGGGAGGCAGTAGGGTTTCAAGAAGATATGGGTGGAGAAGGGAGGAATAAGATGAGTGTGGTAGGATCCCTGAATGCTTTAAGTGTGTACACAGCAGGAAGAAGGAGAAACAGGCAGTAATACTTCAGATATGGCTTGTCTCAAGCACATTTTTAATTTCCACATTTTCCAGGCTTCCCTGGAAAATGGATTCTTATCCCTGACCCATTGTTCCTTTCTACAGTGTGCTTGGGACATAGGCTGGTGGGGCAGGGAAGAAAACCCAGGAAATTTGTTTAACTGCAACAATTACACAATACCTTGCTTCACTCTGTCTGCACCTCTGTCCTTCTCCATTGCTTACGAAGAAAGACTTGTCTGGGAGGAAAGACAGCAAATTTCCAGGCCCGTTTTCTCAGAGAAGAACTGCTTAAAAACAAGCAAGACACAGACAGTTCATGGTGCTGGTTGTAAGCCACAATAAAAATTGTGGTTGTTTTACCCAGACTTGGTTCATTTCTCATGGCATAAAGATGATTCAGTTGTAAGTACTGTTATAGCCCATTTTCACAATCTTTGATGAATTTAACTTGATGTTTCCTTAAACAGAGTAGAGGTAGGAAAGAAATTGTTTATACATTACTAGTCAGTTTTGAAGTGCTTTTGGAAATAAACAGCATGTTCTTTTGCTGACAGGATTTGAAATCTAGCAGTCAGCGAGATGAGATTGCTGCAGCACGTGCATCCCTGAAGGAAAATTCCTCTTTCCTACATTCAATATGTTCAGCTTGTTTGGAACATTCAGATGTTGCATCCCTTACAGCCAGCAAGGATTCAATTTGCAATGAAATACAGAATGCTCTCAATGCAATTTCTAATGCTTCCCAAGGAGTTGGAAATAAAATGGAACAACCTACGTCTCGCACAGCTACTCTTGGAAGTGCACTTGATGAACTTGAGGTATGTAAACCTGTGAGACTACAATGTTTTTGGAAAAATGTTGTGGTTTTTTTTTTTTTTTTTTTTAATAACTATTGATGACATAAGTGATGGGCCTAAGGGCATTAGAAATTGATGCTCTGCTTAGTCTGAGTCTAAATAGTATCACTCGGAATTGTTTCATTGAGAGGGATCGCTCCCTTCAGAAGAATTTGGAATTAAGTCTCCAGTATGTTCAACATTTGGCTGAAATGGAAGGGGAAGAGTTAGTTCCAAGTGTGTTGCTAGTGCTGGAGGCAAGTGGGTCCTTGGTAAGTGGGCAGGAGCCATGAGTTGAGTTTACTAATCAGTGATTATAAGCTGGCAGTGATCACTGCTGCCTTGACTGCATTTGAACCAGTACCACACGAGCTGAAGTCCTTTCCTCTGTCATTCTGTAATTTATATCATTGAACAATTTTTAGAAACCTCATCTGCTTATTATGAAACAAAGTGACATAACCAATATGCTTTCACAAATTCTGTGTTTCTGCTTCCATTATTTAAGTGAATACTTGGAGAAGGGCAGCTCTTTCTCTACGCCTGATCTCCTCCTAAGCTTTTGTATGGAGCTTCTCCCTTTTCTTGTGGCTGCTCTGGCTCTTACCAGTGTCATTTTCCATTGTCCTGCCAAAACTGGTAAAAGATCTCCTGTAGATGGGATTACAGACCATGATCCTCATGTGCTGTAACTCATGTAGGCCCAGACCAACAAAAGCAATGAATGTTTCTAAACACATTTGCAAATATTTGTGGTTTTGATTGTAAATTCTTGGGCTTAGCAAATCTCAGTCTCTGAACTCCAATATTGTTGATAGGTTTTCAGAAGAATTGGTGTTATGGCTGATGGTAATAGACTTTGCCTAAAATTTTCAGTGGCAGATTAAAGAAATACACTGAAATATCACACAGATTTGGTGGTGGCAGTTTATTGACAAAAACAGACCTCTCAGTTATGCTTGAAGTTTTTTCCCCCTAAAGGAACAGGCTACAATAGCACATTACCTGTTATCCCTCCTTGCTTCTCATACTGGGTTTTAAAATTATAGTTTCTAACCTATTTTCTTAACAAATAGAAGAAAAAAAAGAAACATTTAAGAGTAATACATAATTTGTTACAATGAAGCTCTGAATGACAAATGTATGCTTTAAATGAGGGGTATTATTAACCTGGTTTACTTACAAATTTTTTAAAAAAATTTGGCGAAAAGGTTGCATTTTCTGACCACAGATGAATTCATCTTGACTGTACGTGAGCAGTACCATTTAAATAATTTAAAAATGTAATAAAAATTATTATAGTTCTAAAATATGAGATTTGTGATAATCAGAAAATGGAAAAAGAGTATTTTTCATTGAATTTATTTTTATTTGGAAACATAAGAACATGGAAGTCTAACTGTTGTAAAAAGCCATTTGTTTATGGAGTTTTACATGTATTTTTACCTAAGTACCACAAATGGGAATTGAAGCCGTGTGAGTTAGATAAAGCAAAATTTATAGAGCATTTAACTTAAAATGATTTTAGGAATTACATAGTTGCACTCCTCTCTCTTTACAGACAGTTCTATTGGCTAAGGACCTGAAATAACCTTTGCTCTATCTTCTTGTTGCAAATCCAGTGCCATGAAATAGATTGATGTAGTAAATAGTCTGTTGGGAACAAATCTCATTAAATGTTTATAGTGTGGAAATGTATCACAGAGCCTACCCAACGATCTAGTATCTACATGTTCTGCAATGTCATTCTTCCTTTGCCAGTGCTGGCAGCGTGGAAGTTATTAAAGATTTAGGGGTGAGGAAACCACCAGTAAAATTAGAGCAGCTAACCCTTAAATCAGTAGATTCTCAACAATTCCTCTGAAAGGCTCCAAATAACTCCCGCGCCATTTATAAATAAATGCAAAATTGGAACTTTAAAATTTAATTGCATCTTAAGACCTGTGAGAAGAGTGTGTGGGTGCAGGTTAACTGATGCCTTTCCCTGCTCTTGCATCTTCTGAATGTAAAGAGATTTGTCACAAAATGATCCAGGTGCCGCATGCCTGACTCTGTCAGCGTGTTCTGCTCTGTGGTCCTTTAATGATGTCCAAAGGCTGTAAATCAGTCCAAAACTTCAGGAAACAGAACCAGGTTTCTGGATAACTGTGATCCCTCTTTATTCATGCATCAGAAGTCCAATGAGGGAGAAAACAGGGATCCAATAACTCCTCTTAAATGCTCACTTATGCTTAAGAGCTCAGGTAGCTGAGCACTCTTTAGCCTCTTAAAGCAGAACTGCAGGACTGCCTGTGGCATGGCTGGTGTCTCCTCCTTGGATCTTTTCTGCGTAGACTTACTTATAGATAGTTGGTGAAATTGTTTGAAGAATTTAATCTGTGGGCAGAGTCTTAACTCGTATTTTCCTGTTTACTGCTGCCTAGGTGTTTCTGATTGTTTAGTGATGGACCACGGTAGCTTTTTTGCCAGTGCTATTGGTCCATCTTGGCATGAACTTTCTACAAACTGTCTCCCAAAGGAAGACGTTTCTGCCTCTGTTTCATGTGAGATTTGAAGGCAGTTATTTTTCAAGCTAAATGGCTAATTGGCTGTAGCCTTTAGGTGTGTCTTAATCTTCCACAATCAATGAAGCTGTTTTTTAATGCAGTAACATTTCAATATTGTACTTGGCAGGTGTGTTTTGCATTACAATGGACACTGTACATATAGCCTGGCATGAGGGGACTTAGTTGGGAGCTTGACAGGAAAGTTGCTGCTCCAGGACCAAGTGGCAAAAATTTAGCTGATGTGAAGTACCACAGAACACTTTGGTATTAAGGGCTCTAATTGTGATTGAGGGAGGCAGAGTTTCAAATCTCCAACACCTTCTTCCACATCAGAAATGAATGTCCTGACCTCTGGAACTGACTATATCTTAGAAGATCTTCCCTTGTCATTCTTAGAAGATCGTTATGGATGAGTCTTTCCTGCATAAGATTAATGTGAACTTGTCTCTTGGGTGCAAGTTAATTATATATAATTTTAAAATGTAAATATTTAAACACTAATGGCTAGTTTTATGCAGTTTTCCAAATATATATATATTAATGTGCTAGTTATAAAAGTCGAAGCCGCTTCATTTTTAATTTTGCTATGCCTGGATATAGTAACAAAGTAACAAAGATCTGAATAATGGAGTTGTTCGATGCTTGTTAGGCAGGAAAACACATTTCCTACTGCTGAGAACTATTTGATTCTGCTTTTAAAGTTACATAGTCTTACTTACCGAGGTGACAGCTGAAAGGGATTAATTTCCCTTGCATTCCAGACTTCTTAATGGCACTCCATACCACTTTCTTACAATTCCTTGCACTGCATTTCCCTAATTTCCTGCCGCGCCTGTTGTGTTTGAGATGTGTAGTAACTCAGCTTGCCTCCAGGTAGACGGGGTGCAGCTTTTCTTTGCTTCCAGCCCTTCTCTCATTGCTGTAAGGAAGCTCAGCAAAGAAAAGAAAAGAACAAAAAAATGGATGCCCTATGCTAATACTTTTAATCTGTCTCTAAGTTCTCCTTGTGGACAAATGGTATTGTACTGCCTTCACCCTTCCAGAAAAGTGTCCTCAGGTGCATTTCCTTCCTTCTGTGGAAACAGCTGCTCCAGGAAAGGAAGGCTTTTGGTGACAACACTGAGAGCTGGATTGCTGCTCCCATCGGGCCTGACTCTGGACATCGGCAATTAGGAAGTTGCCTGCAAAAGCAAAATGACTTCCTGTGCTGCGGCTTCCATCCACTGCCAGCAAGAGGTTAGGGAATGTAGAGGTATTCAGAGCAGAAGAGCAAGCCTCCTTTATTCTGTCCAAGTGCTCTTTCTTTCCTTTGTATTTTGGCCTTCATGACAGGGTCTGCCAGGCCCTGGCAAAATTTCAGCTTTTCTTCTCTCTTGTTTGGAGAAGGCAAAAGTCAGCTATTTTTTTTTTAAATGCTGAGTGGTTCTTAACTGGCTCCTACTTCTGCAAAAGAGGATGAAAGCAGTGAACTGCCTGTTTGCTTTCCTCCGTCTTTGTAAGTGGGCAAACTGTTCTATTCCAGTTTGGCTTTGGTTCCATAGTTGTATGTGAAATTTGGATTTCCATGATCAGCATATTTTTTACATCTTTGAATTAGGAATTAATTAATTAGGTTTTATGTTGCTTTATGGATATACAAATAGCTATGTTTTTCATCTTCAGAATAATGAGGTTCTTCCCTTCCTGCTTGCACATAAATTCCTTTTCACTGTTATTGTATCTGGATAGGTGAACCTTGTTTTGAGAAAATCCAGGAACTTGGAAATACACAGTTATTGCTTTAACTTAATCTGTGGTTACATCAGCTGGATACACAGGAACACCTGACATAGACTCATAAGCCATTTTAATGGTCTATCCTTTCACTTCCTGGAACAAATCCATGATCTCAGTTTTAGACTTTTTATAGTATCTCAGAATAGGTAACAGAAAAATTCCACTTCAGGGTACATGGCATAGTTTTCTTGTTCAATACTGCTTCTGAAATGTTTGAACTACCTGCGAGTGTAAGAGGTGAATGGGTGTATGTGGAGTAGAGGTTTGGTGGTCAGAACTATAATGACACTGTTTTATGTATTCAGTTACATTAAAAATTACTAGTTTGTATTTCTTTAAATGCTGCAGCTCAAATATACTTACTTTCACATTTCATGAAAATATCCTCTCTTCTTTATTTGCTTGACGCACAAATGTTATTAATTTTATCAAGCCAAAAGAGTTGTCTGCTTTGGTTTACACTACCTACTGAAAAGCAAAGGACACTTATATCTAGGTCCTTTGCAAAGAAGCAATTGTTAAACAAAAGTTTCTGGTTTTTATCTTTGCACATATTCAGCCTGTTAAAGGTGGCAGCAGTGACTTTGTCACAGTGTGGGATTGTATCAGGCTAAAAATCAGCAGAATGAGACTGCTCATGTAATCTGATGTGACATTCCCAGCTGTGAGCTAGCACTGCTGTTTTTGAGGTAAATCCAGAGGTTCTCCTGATCTGTAAAAGACTAAAGTTTGGAGGTGTTGAACCCCTCTTTCAAACGAAGCTGAGACTCTGGTCTGAGGATTTGATAACATGGATAACTGGCTTGGAAAGTAGTGAGATCTGAATGGCAGAGAGAATTTGGGTTTGTCTACAAATGATCTCTATGCACAGCCCCACTAGGGAAAACAGAATCTACCATGGTCAAAAGTTTTTTGACCTTCCAGTGGGAAGGGCTGGTTGCAAGTCTAGGAAGCACAATGTCCCTGTGGTTCATGCAAGTAAAAAATAGAGCAGGAACCTAATTGGGCTGACTTTTCTTAACTAGACTCCTTATTTTTTCCAGAATTTAATTGTCCTGGATCCTCTTGTAGTGAATGAGGAGACAATAAGGCCCTCCCTAGAGAAACGTCTGGAGGCCATTATAAGTGGAGCAGCTCTGCTGGCCGACTCCTCGTGCACGCGGGATGTCCATCGGGAGCGCATCATCGCCGAGTGCAATGCCATCCGCCAGGCCCTGCAGGACCTGCTCTCAGAGTACATCAACAACGTGAGGCACCAGACTTTTTCCTTTTTGAAATGTCTGTCTCAAAACCTATTTATTGTTAGAGTATATTTGAATTTAAACCATAGTTAGTGTCAGTTAGAGTTTAACCTGTATTTCTTGACATGCTCTTTAAAAGGCTGAAAAGGACATTTTTCTACATAAATCTAAGTAAAAACTAAATACATGTTCCCAGAATGAGTAGGTATTGTATTATATCATAGCTTGTGTCTAAAGTCTGTAGCAAGTGCTCTGTCACAGATACAATGTACATATGTAGATTATTTTATGCTTATTGTGAACCATCACTAGTTCAGGACAGACATAATCCTTCCTGTGCCAGCAACAAGAGTTTTTTCCTAATGCCACTTCCTAGAGCAGAGTTTGAAATTGTAATCTCTGTTCCTGTAGAATGCAACAATTTAATTAATAATTTGTTAAAATGTAGGTATTCTGTTAGTATTGTTTTCAAGTAGAGTGTTAACAGCATGGAGTGTAAGAGCACCAAGTTACAAATGTAAAAATTACTGAATTGCTAGGTTGGGAAGATAGTACTGTTGGGTAAATCCAGAAATCTGGTTGTCTGGCGTGCTTATAGGCTAATTCAGCTGTGAATTTTTTGAAAAGGAATATAGTTTGTTTTAAAAATAACTTTTCTTTTAGATTTGACAAATGGATTTGGCATTTGTTATGTCTGGCAGTTAATTCCTGAGACTATGGAGATGGGTAGTGTTAATATGGCTACACAGTGTTAATTCCATGCTTTTTGTCTGTAAACATTTTCTGTAGACATACTGTTCTTATCTAAAGATAACTCAAGATGATTCATCAAGCACATTGAGAGGGCAATTGTATGATACAACTATTTGTTTCCTTTTTGGGAAGCTGAAATTCCTTTCTATTCTGTAAATCATACCAGTTAATGCAGTCCAAAGCTGTTCTAATGAGACTGTTTTCTTATTCTCTTGTTATTAGGATAGTGTTGTGTAGGGACTAAGATAATCTAAGCATATCAGATGTCTTTTTCATCACACAGATATTGTACTTTTTGATATTTTTTCTTTATTTAATGGGCAGCAGGTGAAATTTAAAGGTGCTTTATTCCAGTTGCTCTTCCAGTCCCTCTACCAGGTAAAGGTGCTGTAATATTTTTACTCAGAATTTAGCTGCAGTTTCTGTTGAATGCAGCATTAATTCCTGAACTTCTCTGGTGGTGCTTTACATGTGGGTTGGCTGTGTGTTATCTCTTCAGCTTGGCATGTTAGTCTTTGATACTCTCCTGTAGCAGATGTCTGTAGCAATATCTGCTCTAGAGTGGGTCAGGTTTGCTGTTAAGTGGCTGAAAGTATAATAAGGGTTAGACCATCCACCTTTAATGGTTGGACTCGATGATCTTGAAGGTCTAGCTGATTCTGTGATTCCAGCTTTTAGTAGCCCAGAGCACGTGGAAGGATGCAGATGTGGTGAACAGTATCCCCTGAGTCCAAAAGATCATGGTGGGTTTGTCCCAAGAACGGTTTTTTATGTCTTGCTGGCATAAAAGTACAAGATTGTAAGTCAAATGGTCCTAAATTCTTAGACTCTTGAAACAAAATCGGGGTTATCTTTTTTATTTCAGAAGCAATCATGGTTTTAGGGTTACATAATGCAGACTAAAGGAAAAAGAAGAATACGTATCCCACCCCACTGACTTGGGAAAGTCAGAAAGCAGCTATTTAAATATGTCAGTAAGGGAAAGTGTCATATAATTTGCTGCAGAACACAGTGACTGCACAAGGTGGCAAAGATGAGGGAGCAGAAAGGAAAAAATACAGAAGATTTAAAGTTATGAGGTGTTTACTATGGTTAAATGACAGGAGTGAATGTAAAGTTCTTAGTTTCTTTTAGAACTCTTGATCTGCTTATACATTTATTATTGAACTGAATGGAAAAACACCAAGAATACTTTATGGCTATTACTGAGACTGCATTAAACAAGTTTTTCAATACAGAGCATTGAGCTTAAACAGGGTCATTGCCAAGGACTTGTGTGTCTAAATTCTAGGTAGGTTCTGCATTGTCTGTTTTTTTGAAACTAGGCCTCAGTGTCTGAACAAATGTACAGGAACTTAGGATTTAGCCCCAATATTTGAAATGGTATGAAGACTATAGCTTTTGTGGTTCCTAAATTTATCTTTTTTTTATTTTCCTCAGTTCTTTGAAGTGTCTTATAAGCCTTAAGGACCTCAAGTGGAATTAAGAGCCTGTTCATGTCAGTGAAAAATTACTAAAAATCTTTTCTTTAAAGAGTTTTTAATGCAAGCTGGGAGAAACATCTTTTCAGCAGATACTTGCTTTTATGTAAATGTCTGTTTTTCACAGACACTTTATCACAGTGAGGTGATGCAAAATGGTCTCTACACTAATAAAGACCTACTCAGTCTCCAAGAACCTTCAAGTTTTTCTGTTCACAAAATAATTCAGGCACACAGAAAATTGCAAATACATTTATAATTCCTCAGAAAGGCAGCAACTTTTGTTCTGAATTTTTTTAAAAAATTCTTTGGAATTATTTGTGTCCTATCTTTGTCCTTTCTGAATTTTACTCAAAGACATACATTGTTAGGGGATATATTTGCATTTTAAGACATCAAATAACAGGAATTACTACTGTGGCTTTGGATAGCTTATCAATGGCAGAATCATGCTATAGCATGGCTATGAATGTAATAATGTATCCATAGGAGCAATCATTTTCTTCTGGTAATAAGCACTTGCATCTTCCTAATGATAAACTCTTGTCTTCTCTCTTCATCCTTTACAATGAAAAGTTATTGAAATCATTGGAGTGTAGCAATACTAATTCCATGTTTCTTGGGTTCTGCTTTTACTCAGTCACAATAAAGGTGTGCACTTACCTGGGTGGTCAAAAGGGATAACAGAGTTGTGATTGAGTGGGAGCTGAAGTGGCTGTTGTGAGCAGCAATTAGGATGATTGCAGGCACTGCTGTCTCTGCCTTCATTAAGTAGGGAAGGTATGCCTGAATAATTGTTCTTCATCCTCCTGTGGGTTTGAATAAAATCACTACCTAGATTGTTAAAGGTTGGTAAAGAAGGGTCAGATACACTGACGAGATGAGAGCTGCTCTCTTGAATTAAAATTTCCTTACTTCTGAAATGTTGTTTCATGATATTTGAGCTTCATTAGTTTCTCATCTTGTTCTGGCTATTGGTTGGATATATGTGTGTGTATAAAATTCATATTGGGCAGGTGTATTTTGTCTCTTCTGATCAGTTGTGATTTCACTTTCTTCTTGTGCATTTCAAAGATTTCTGTTTCTTAACTGGGTTTTTATGTTAAGATTACCTAAATTTTGGGGTCAAATAATGTCAGTACAGTAGTTGGCATTTTCATTTGGATTTTCAAAGTGAACTAGGCATCAAAGCTCTGTGAACCAGCAGCAACTTGGTAATTTAGCCTGCTGTTCTGGGTGTGCCTGTGGCTCTTGTGTTCAGTCTTTTACTGAGACATTTGAAAAATGGGAGGAGACTAATGACTAATTTTACCTTGAGGCCAGATCAGGAAGGGAACTGAATTGACCACACGGTGTGTATTTATGTTACATGTCTGGTGTACTGATAATCCAGCCCTGACCATCTGTGTAGCCCAAGGGCAGGCCAAGCTGAGCCTGACTATAAACCTGCCCTGCTCTGTGTCAGACAGCGTGGGACTGCTCCAGGAATGATGCTGCGAGGGAGGTGAAGTGGGTGGTGGCAGACAGTGAAGCACCCACATTGCATGTCAGGAATAGTTGAACCTTGCTGGGAATGCAGCTCCTGGTCTTCATCAAATTGGGTTCCCTCAAGGTTCTCTGTGGCCACTTGCTTCACCACAGGCTTGTGTCCACACCACATTTGGGTTTCAGGCATTTTGGGATCTGAGTGCACCAGCTGAAGTGCTGTGAGGATGAGGTTAGGAGCTGGAATCCCTGAAAATAGGGGGACACCTGAGACAGGGAGAGAGCTGGACTGTGCTGTGCCCTCTAAGAAGGGGTGCAGTACAGAGCCTTCTGTATCCATGGGGAAGGTCCAGCTGTGGGAAGGGAGATACAGTGGAAAGCTGGGACATGTGCCATTGTGTCTGTCTACATTTCAAATTCTGATTGTTCACTTACTGGAACCTGAGCATTGGGAATTCAAACTCAGAAAATGGATGGAAAACCAGCAGTCTTTATTTGTTGATGGTATGGTTCTGGGCCTTGTCCTTTGTCTCAGCTCTTAAATTTGAGTGCTGTGGAGTGCTAATGCCTTGCTCTGCCCCTGCATTGAGTACTCTTCAACAACAGCTTTAGGGTTTGACCCACTGTCTCGCTGTAGAGACTGTGATTGATAAGGGTTTGTGTGGTATTTTATTGCCATTCTTACTCTTTTAGGGTGGAAGGACATATAGATACCTCAAGCATACAAATACCTCAAACTTGACGTTATTTGTACTTTATGGTTTCCTGATGAAGACTTTTAACACTTCCTTGGGTAGAAGGAAGAAAAGACACTTTGGTTTCTCAACACAGTGATGCAGTGTATCTTGCATTTTAGCTACATAATCTTGCTCTGAGAAGTGGATTTTTCATTTTGATTTTTCATTTTTCATTTTGATGCTTTGATGATGGGGCAACATTTTAGATAGATCTGCAAGAGTTCCTCCAAAAGAGTGATTTCAGATTGAAGAAAACATTTTGTTCAACTTAAAAAGGAAATGTTTCGTATTTTTAATTTTAGGAATTCCCTGGTCATCTTTGTTAGATCTGTGTAGTTGCTCTCTGTTTGAATAACTGAGCCTAAACTAACCAGGGACTTTGCATAAATTCCTTGCTAAAATCTTTGGGAACAGAATGGCTGTTGTTTATTCATGCAAGGGGTTAAAATAGCTGACTTCCTGAAATCGTTTTTTTTTTAAACAAGAAAATATGTTTTCATGATTCTGTTGTTGACACAGCCTGAGGAGTTGGTTGAGTTGACTTCAAGCA